GTGCGGGGGGGGGGGGGGCAGGGGGGACGAAGCGCACCGCCCAGGAGAAGCGCTTGGGCAGTGAGGAACAATTGCGTGCAGCTGCCATGCCAGCAGCGCTCGCCAATGCAGCGCCGTGAACGGCCTTTCACACGTCAGGCTGCGCCTGGCAGGCCCATCGATTGCGATCCCATCGGTGTCCCGGACTGCAGTGCTCATCAGCCTTTATATCGTGGGGCCATGGCATCCTTCATAGTGTGGACAGCAGAACGCACGGAGGGTCGGCGCAACAGGCGACGCTGTGCCGTAAAAGCAGCAGGATGGTTTGCAGACGCCCCTACAGCAGACCAGTGTCAATTTGACGCAACACACTGTAGCTGCACACCGAAGAGGGTCTGCAGCCATGTCAAATGTGCTCAGCAAGCCAGCCCTGCCCTCCTGCAAGCGAAGATGTCCCAGGGATGGCACGCGCCGCCGTGTGCACCAGCGGCAAGTTGGCAGCTGCCCACTCGCCAATGTTGGGTGCTGCAGGATATATGGCTGCGAGCCGTGCGCACGCTCACCAGACTTAGGTTTGGCTGTGTGAATAATATTGCACTTGACGCGAAAGGAGCCCGCTGCGCCAGGCGTGGCAGCAGGAGGGTGCCCCGGGCTAGACCCACCTGTGCGGTGCACGGTGAGGGATTTACGGCTGATTTCGTTTCGAGAGCATCATAGCGTAGGCGATCGTTGCGACGCCAACCCTTGGGGTCTGTCCGCTGGTGCACGGGTCGAACTGGGCCTGGCGAACAGCCTTGACCCATATGAACGCCGTGCGGCCGATCATAGCCATGATCTAGCACCTGCGGCGCGGAGCGCTCGCCCCACCAAGGCCTGCACCTTGCATCAATCGCTGCGCTGTTGCGAATTGTTGCGCTGCAGGGTCGGAGGCATCAGGAGTGAATGGGGCCCGGCGGCGGGGCAGGATGGATTGAACGCAAGCACGTCATTAGCAATGGGGCTGCAGGTGCTAGATGTTGCAGCATGCACGGCACAAGGGTGCACGTGGACCCGTGCCATTGGCAGCAAAATTGCCCAAATGCAGGTGCCGCCGCAGCCACAGGCACAGCCGGCCCTGCACGCCGCGGCGCTGGCAGCGGCAGCAGCAGCAGCACCTCACCTGCATCAGGCAGCAGGGGTGGCATGCCCGGTGTGGCATGGCGGCGGTGGCGGTTGCTCATCGTTGCAGCTGGGCTGGTGCTGCTGATTGGCGCCTGCGCAGCAGCCGCGGCAGGGGTAGACACGCCCGTGAAAGCGGCGCTTGAGCCTGCAGCTGCAGCCGCGGCAGAGGACGTGTCCGTTGAGGGGGACCTTGGGCCGCGTTTTGCTGTCTACAATCAGGTGGGCGGACACGGCAGGGTCGGTTGGGTGGCGGTTGGCATCAGACTGTGCCACCAATGGGGGCTGCAGGTTGTTGGCCACTTAGTCAATCATGTGCATGCTCATGCTCATGCACATGCTCATGCTCACGCCCACGTACATGTATGCATTCATGCATGCATTGTGCGCGTGCACGCATGGGCGGGCGCGCACGCGCGTGAGCGCGCGCGCGCGCGCACACACACACACACACACACACACACACACACACACACACACGCACGTACGCACACACGAGCGCTCACACAAGCCCATACACAAGCCCACACACACCCCACGCTATCCTCCCCCCACATGCCCACACACGCACACGCAATGCGGGAGGCACGGCAAATCCGCGACCTACCCTCTTGCCGTTCCCCCCTTGCCCCTGCGCCAGGTCCACTTTCACCTGGAGGTTGTGGTGGGGGCGGTGCATGTGCTGCAGCAGCTGACGGCACAGCCCGTCGACGTGTACCTGCCGGCCAAGGTGCGCAGATGACCGCCCGATGGCTGTCGCCCGCCCCACAGGGCGGGCCGTGTGGGGCCCTCATGCGCAGCAGGGCGGCGCGCCCAGCGGCCTGCAGGGTCAGGCCGTGTTGCTGCGGGCGCCGCGCGCTGTCAGGCGGGCCTGACACGCCGAGTCCGCGCGCTGTGTGGCTCCAGGTGGTGAAGAACAACTGGTATGGCTTCTTGTCGTGGATTGGCAAGATGGAGGGCGTGGTGTGGCGGGACTGCAACGAGTACGACGGGAAGACCACATATG